TCTTGGGCTGTCTCCATCTTCTGTTAAATCAACCTGGGCATGAAACCCAGTCCCTTCACTGATCTTCACAGGATCATGCGAATTTGCTAGCATAGCAGGGAGAAATTGTAGAGCTATATTCATGACCTTCTAACTAGATCTCGCTTCTCTTCTTTATTCTCCAGAGCCCCTTTCCAGAGTAAAACATGTTCCTCTCCGTGTCTCATGTGTAGTTCTTCACATCCTTCTCTTAGGGCTGAGGGGTTGTGAGTGTGCATGTCACAGGGGGGTACACCTGTCATAAGTTGGCATGTCAAGACATATTGATCACAAACACATCTATCTCCCTAATAGGAATTCTTCTATCAATTGCTAAGAGAATACAATTTATCTTGTCATATTGTATGCAGCTATTCTCATGCAGATATTTTTCTTACTGTCTGGGCAACAAGGTCCTCAAAGATAAGAAATAATTTTTCATTTTTCTTATGTCCATAGTCCCTATTTTAGAAGTGGTCATCCACAAATGTTCAGAGAACGAATGAATGAATCCAAGATATAGGACTTCAGTATCTTTCTAAAGGAAACAAATGTATTTCTTTTCAGCAGGCATTCTATTTTAAAAGATTAATTAATTTTTAACTGAGGTAACATTGGGGTGTCCCCCATCAGGTGTTACCACCATAGCTCACCCACCGCCAACTCACCCACACTCCACTACCCCAGACCATTATGCCTCTCTCCCTCACTATACTTCTCCTCCTTCCTCCCCCTTGACATCTCATTACTGTAGACTTATCAAGGATTAGTTTTTCAGCTTGTCTTTATCTGATTTTTAATTAACTTTATATTCCACATATTATTGACACCATCCATGTTTATCTTTCTCCTTCTGACATATTTCACTTAGTGTTATCCTTTCAAGCTCCATCCATGTTGCTGCAAATGGTGTGAGTATATCTTTTTGTTGGCTGAGTAGTATTCCATTATGTATCTGTACTACATCTTCTTGATCCACTCATCTGTTCTGGGGCACTTAGGTTGCTTCCATAGTTTAGCTATAGTAACCAGTGCTACAATAAACATGGGGGTGAATGTTTCCTTTTGAATTAGTGTTTTTGAATTTTTTGGATAAATGTCTAGGAGCGGAATTACTGGGTTGAATGGCAGATCTGTGTAAAATGTTTTGCTATACCTCCTTACTGCTTTCCACAGGGCCTAGACCAGTCTGTATTCCTGCCAGCAGTGTAAGACAAGTCTCCCTTTTCTCCACACCCTTGCCAGCACTTGTTGCTTCTGGTCCTTTAGATATGGGCCATTTTCACAAGTGTGAGATGGTATTTCATTACGGTCTTGATCTGCATTTCTCTAATGATAAATATGAACATTTTTTTTTTCACGCGCTTTTTGGCCATTCTAATGTGTTCTTCGGAGAGGTATCTGTTTAGTTCTTTTGCCCATTTTTTTGGTTGGGTTATTTGTTTTGTCTTAGTAAACTTTTATGAGTTTTTTTGTATATCTTTGCTATCAATCCTTTGTCATATGTATGGTAGGCAGATATTTTCCCCCATTCAGTAGGGTTTCCTTTCATTTTAGTTATTATTATTATTTTTTTTGCTGTGCAGAATCTTTTTAGTTGATGTAGGCATTCTTGAATTAAAAGCAATGAACTTTTTATCAATAGTGATAAATTTTATCAATAGTGAAGACACAGACCTTGGTTTCTTTGCCTAGTATGTAAAGTTTATTAAGAAATGACAAAAGACATTGAATCACAGATATAACTGCAGTAACCAGCAGGTAAGATCATGATGATTAAAAACAAGAGCTAGAATCACATGTTGAGATATGGAAACATATAACCTGCTTTTTAGAAGCGGAATGTTGAAGGAAGAACTTCCATTCTCTCTGGTGACATGTGAGGAATGTCACTTGGTTATACGCTGGTGCCTTTCAAGTTGGAAGGATTTTTAGGTAAACAGAAGCAAAAAAAGATCATAAAGTGGGAAAATTGGATGGTTGTCAATTCTCAAGGATAAATTCTACAACATGTAGTAACTTGCAACTCTGCAAGAAAATAAAAGAGTGTATCTAAAAGCAATTTGATGATCAGCAGGTGAATTTGCAGCATTCCTGTGTCTGCAGAGAAGGACCGAGGTGTTCATTGCAGAATGAAATCCAAACTGCGAGGTTCACGAACTTGGTGGTCCCCACAGCAAAGAAACAAATAGAAGTCTAAGAACTTGTTACTGATCCAGGGGTGGTGGAAGAGATAAATTGCTCAGAGATATTGGATCCAGGGCTATTGAAAATCAGCAATCTGGCTTTTAGCAGGTGGGCTCACAGCAGTGGCAGCAGCAGGCTGGGCGGCAGCAGGACTGTCCACAGTAGGAGGGGCGGCAGCAGGAGGCCTGGGCGTGGTGCAGCTGGCAGCAGCTTGGGGGGGTGCAGCTCACCACACAGCAGGGGGGCAGGCAGGTGTCCTCCACGCGGCAGTCAGGGCGGCACCACCTGACACGGCAGCTCACAGCCCCAGAGCCACCTCCCAGGCCACCGCCAATGCCACAGCCGGAGCCATAGCCAGAGCCACAGCCAGAGCCACCACAGCTGGTGAGGCAGCAGGTGGGCTGGCAGCAGCTGGTGGGGCAGCAGCTGGGCTGGGAGCAGCTGGAGCCACAGATTCCACCAGTAGAACAGCTGGGGAATCCACAGAAGCTAGTGGTGCAGCAGGCCATGGTGTCAGTAGTTGGGTTGAGAGTTGGGTTGCTTGGAGGAGTTTCTGAGTTTTGGTGGTGAGTTCTACACCGGGCCCTTATATATCTGAGCCAGCTGATAGTTACAAAATTCTTAACATATTTTCCTTGTTTTTGTTTAAATTTGTTCTTTAGTGGTTCACTGATTGGCTTACATTGAAATACTTCTGACACATTATGAACAACCACTTAGAAATTACTTCGTTTTATAGTTTCAGGCGGACTCTTTATGTTAGTCCTTTGCTCTTTGGAATGCTTGTGGTTTCCCATGTTCAAAGAGTCCTCCCATTTTAATCCCTGTCAACACCCTTGTTTTGCATAGGTAGTTACTACAGTACAGGGCACTCAGCCCAGATCTGTAGGGTTAAGCCTAATTGTGGTCTTAAATTTGACTATTCTTTTTCCTCCTAAAGAGATAGAACTGATTTCTCTTGAATGCAGGGCGTCAAGACATCCACTGAATGGAAAGAGATCTGTATATAATTAAAAGCTTCAAACTCATTTACTCTAGCATCAAACATATAATCATTATAGTTTCTTTTATTTCAAATAATTTTAAATATGTAAATATTATTGGTGTTTCGGGCCAAAGATCTTTTCTTGTGAACCAAATGACACATAGCTGGATATATGGATAGATAGATAGATAGATAGATAGATAGATAGATAGATAGGCAGGCAAGTAGGTGCTTAGCTTCTGGTAGAACCTTAGTAAATGTTTATTGAATCTGATTTAAATGGGTGGAGTATAAGCATGATTCATGGGTGCTTGTGCTACTTATAAATGATTAAATAGAACTTTCAAGCCGTAGTACCTCTCGCGAAGGGATCCTTGTTATTGTCGAAAGAGACTGGGAAAAGCTGAAAATGTTTTATCTACATTTAATGGTTAAAGCAAGACTTGGGGAAAAAATAATCCGGGAGCTGGGCCATTTTGAGGAGTGCACTGCTATCTGCTTTATTCTTCTATGAAATGTATTGTCTTGTGTGTGATCTGTGACTGCTGCCAATTAAATGATAAAGGTAAGTGATGGAAACTTGCCAATCACTTGGAAAGTCTTTTTGTTTAAGTCTTCTATATTTTATCCTGTCATATTTTTGTGTGTTGCATTCAAGTAGTTAATGACAAACTGAAAAAATCAAATGAGGAGAGGTACTTTTGGTCTTTGTTAAGAGAACATCTTTCAGATTGGGTAGTAAGGTGAAAAGTAGATAGTTGCTTCATGTTTCTTCATTTTTATTCATTTTTAGTTCTTCACAGTTCTTCATAGTTCTTCATTTTTCATGTGTCTATAAAATGGTGGGGTGGCCCTTGGGTACCTGCAGAGCTGCTCTGTTCGCATTTAGACCAGAGCTGCACTCATAACACAGTCAATGGAGTGAGCATTGGAAATTGAAGCTTAGAGAGGATTTTAGGGGAGTCAGCGGGAAGATGACATTAAGCCAAGAATTAGGAATTATACTGACATGCTCTTGGGAAATGGATAACTCTCTGACAGATAGTATTTGGTGGATATTTTAAAATATTTCATTTAGGTAATGCAACTTCTTTAGATATTGGGCCCTTATAAAGAGAACATGTAGAATATTAAGTAGAAGGAGATTAAAAATAACAGAAGTACACTAGGGAGAAATCCCATAACGTTGATTAACCTGAAAATTCTAGCTCAAAAGGCTTTCTGGGGTCAGACCTAATTGGAACAGACTAGAGCCTCTAAGTATTTGAATAACTATAAAGATTTAGCCCAGGGAGCATTTTATTAACTGATGGGGTGCAACAATATGTAGTTTGTATTTAAACTTTTTGGTTTAGACTTTATATTTATGCCTTAAGCTCATTATCAAAATGCAAATATATTCTTGAATTTCAACCAAAGGTGGACAAGCTTAAAGATAAAAGGAGGAAAATAACACAGTTTGTCTTGCTCATTTAAACAGTTTATTTGAGAGAAACAGGGGTTATTCTAGGAAAAAGCAGTTTGATGTTGAGTTCGAGAAGCAGGGAGGAGAACAGAGGTGTCACTGAAAGAACAGACCACCCATGCTGGCACGCTGCTCGAGCCAGGCAGGACGGCCAGACATTTGGTAAACTGGCACTCACTTCCAGTGTGCTAATTCAGAGCATCCAAGAAGGTTCTGACTATGATTTTCGTTACTTCTGTGTGGCTTAGAAACATCCTGATACTTAGCATCCAGGTAAAACAGAATACTTCTTCAGGGAAAAGAGCAGCTTTGCTGTGCTTCCCCTTTCAGTCAGCAACTGTGCTTTCAGCAGGTGGGCTCACAGCAAGTGATCTGGCAGCCAGTGGGCTGGCAGCAGTGGCAGCAGCAGGCTGGGCGGCAGCAGGACTGTCCACAGTAGGAGGGGCGGCAGCAGGAGGCCTGGGCGTGGTGCAGCTGGCAGCAGCTTGGGGGGGTACAGCTCACCACACAGCAGGGGGGCAGGCAGGTGTCCTCCACGCGGCAGTCAGGGCGGCACCACCTGACACGGCAGCTCACAGCCCCAGAGCCACCTCCCAGGCCACCGCCAATGCCGCAGCCGGAGCCACAGCCAGAGCCACAGCCAGAGCCACCACAGCTGGTGAGGCAGCAGGTGGGCTGGCAGCAGCTGGTGGGGCAGCAGCTGGGCTGGCAGCAGCTGGTGGGGCAGCAGCTGGGCTGGGAGCAGCTGGAGCCACAGGTCCCACCGGTAGAACAGCTGGGAAATCCGCAGAAGCTAGTTGTGCAGCAGGCCATGGTGTCAAGAGGTAGGTTAAGAGTAGGGTTGTTAAGAGTTTCTGAGTTTTGACTGCAACGTATACATGCAGCCCTTTTTATATTCCCCGGACCTGTGTATTTCCCTAACATTTAGCATCTTTCCTTGATACCATTTGCAAAGTCTGTCTCTGATTGGCTAAGACCTGAGTTGTTTAGAAAGGTATAAATAGCATTCAATAGCTTTGGTCATTTTTCAATTAAGTCTCATTATGTTTCTTCCTTGCTCTTCAATCAAAAGTGAAGGCTCCTATGGAAGCTCATCACAGCAGCTCCTCTCTGCAAGTCACATGATCGACTAGACATGGCCCAACCCCCGCCCAGGCTTACACTGTCCCAGCTGTCCTTTGATAACCTTTAGGTCAAGTTTATCTAAGCTCAACATTTTCTTCCTAAGTTGTCATTCAATTAAGGATTGTGATTTCATAAACAATTTGCCAGACGTGGAATGGCTAAAATTACTGTCATCAAAACATAAGCTGAATCACCTGACTTGTCAACATGCATGAGAAGCTGCTTTCCTATGACCAGTTTATGCCAAAATACCATCTTCAGAGCTCTAAGGAGTATTCTGTGCCTTCCACCATCAATGTGCAATCCCCAGCTGCAACCCTTATGACTTGCTTATAGATTTTTTTTTCTGACTTTACTAAATTAAAAAAATATTCTAGCCACAGGCACATATTCCAACAAGTCAGCAATACAGTCACATAAAGAAAAGTTCATGCTTTCCCCCTAGACCAAAACACCCCCATTCCTTTCAAAACTAGCACTCTAGAGACAATTTTAACAGTTTGGTGCATGTTTTGATGCCCTTCCCCTTGTTTTTACAAACACAAACCAGCATATCTACACCTTCTAAGTAAAATCAGGGTCTCCCATCATTATATTTTAAAAATATTTACTAAATTTTAATGTAGTAAAATTTACACAACATAAGACTTATGTTTCACCACTTTCAAGTATATAGGTTACTAGTGCTAAGCATATTCACATAATAATAGTACAGCCTCTAGAACTTTCTATCTTTCAAATCTGAAATTCTTTATCCATTAAATATAATGAGGTTCCCATTCTCCCCTTTCAAGTTTCTTGGCACCCACCATTTAACTTTGTGTCTTGGTGAATTTGACCATTCTGGGCACCTCACCTTAATGGATTCATCCAGTATTATCTTTGTGACTGACTTATTTCACTTAGTATAGTGTCCTCAAGATTCATCCTTGTTGTAAAATGTGGCAGAATTTCCTTCCTTTTTTAAGGCTGAATAACCTTCCATTGCATGTACATACTACAGATTGTTTATCAATTCATCCAGCAATGGATTCCCTCCAAAAAGGATTAAATTTCTCCATGTCCTTGACAATGCTTTTTGGATTTTTTAGAGTGGCCAATGTAGTGGCATGAGGTGGTATGTCATTGGTTTTTTCTTTGCAATTTCCTATCTTGAGCATCTTTTCATGATCCTATAGGCTGTTTGTATATCTTCTTTGAAGAAATCTTTATTTATGTTCCATGCCCAATTTAAAATTGTTTTGTGGTTGTTCTTGTTGAATTATAGGTGTTCTTTATATATTCTGGGTATTAGCCCTTTATCAGAGATTTGATTTGCAAATATCATTTACTATTCTGTGGATTGCCCTTTCATTGTGTTGATTGTGTCCTTTGATGCATAGAAATTTTAAATTTTGATTTAATTTATCAGTTTTTTACCTTTGCTGCTTATGCTTTTGGTGCATTGCCTAAGAAATCATTGACAGATCCAATGTCATGAGGTGTTTCCCCTATGTTTTCTCCTAAGAATTTTATGGTTTTAGCTCTTATATTTAGGGCTTTGATCTATTTTGAGTTAATTTTTATAGATGTTGTAAGATGAGAGTCAATATTAATTATTTTGATGTGGCTATCCAGTTTTCCAGGAATATTTGTTGAAAAGACTGTCATTTCCCATTGAATTGTCTTGGCATCCTTGTTGAAAATGTTGTTGAATCATTTGTTGAAAATCATTTGTACATGTGAGGCTTATTTCTGGATTCCTATTTTGTTTGCCCTTATGTCAGTACATTACAGTTTTGATTACTATAGCTTTGTAATATAGTTTAAATTCAGAACTTTTCCAATTGTTGGTTTATTTTATACTTATTACTAATTATTTTATATAGCTATGTAATATTCTGATATATGAATGTAGCACACTTTATTCAATTTTAAAAACTGTGTTTTTGAATTTTAAGCTGTAGAGATTTTTAAATGGGTCCAACTTTAGGTGATTATGCATGGGCTTGTGATGGAGGGGACTGAACTATTGATCAAAAACTCAATTTAATTAAACTAAAATGGGCTTCTCAAACTGGCTTTACTATTAGGGACTGAGACACCTCAGAAAAGTTACTTGATCACTCTGAACATTGCTTTGTTTATATGAAAGATGAAGCAATTTATTATACATCTTCATAAATAGAATTACACAACTGCTCTACTAGATCATTGACCCCTTAAATGATCTCCCTATGTCTGATTCACACTGGTATCCTACATAGTGCCATCTGCACCATCATACATATAGACTTCCCAGCTTGTTGAACAAAAAAGAAAGAAAATGAATGGTTAGCAGTGTATGATAATAATGAAAACCAAATAAATGCATATTACCAAAGTCATGTGTTATTTTATCTGTATATTTTTTCTCAGCAAGAGGAATTAATTAGGTAGTGATGTCTAAAAGTGATCAGTAGTTAGACTCAGAGGGACAAGATGTCTCTAATTCTGTTTTGTTCTTCAACAATGTTTTCTGTATTGGACCAGATCTCTAGATGTATGTCAGGAAAATCATCCTTTGTTTACTTTGTCTTTTATTCATCCTTCGTATTTCTTGATTTTTCACTAACCTTGAGTGGATAAAGCATTGTAATTTTAACTAATGTGATATTCTTAATAAAAAAGGATACCATTTGTCTCCTCCTGTCTAAGGAAACATGAATTAATCTTAATTCTTGTCCAAAAATTCTTACATATTTATGATGCGTTCCCTAAGACCTACATTTAAATGTATACAAATTCATTGTACACGAATGTTATATATAAATTCATGTATATGTTGAATAAATATATGTGTATTTCTATTAAGTGAACATTTTTAAACAAAAGTTAATATGTTGATTTTAAAAATAGAATAAGACATTTATTAGCTCTACTTCCAGCTTAGGAACTGGGAAAACAACTTTGCAATAAAAACCTCCTTTTAATTGAAAGGCTTTGAGAGTCCTTTCCAACTTGGAGCCCTCTTACTTTACTCTGCTAGACCACATGTAAAAGACTGTGATTTATTAGTACTTATACCATTGTTTTGAAGATTGTCTGAAGGACAGTTCCCCTATAAGTCATGGAGAAATAAGTCATATTCTGACTCTAGATTCAGAGATGTTGATCTCTATAACTTTCTGGCTATCGAAGTACTGTGAGAGGTGAGGGTAAGGTAAATAGTGTCTGTGCTATTTTTGAGGCTCTAGATAATCAAATTTTCTGTATGTTTTTTAATTAGAGTTAAACTCACTGAACCTGATCAAATTTCCTAATATGGCATAAGAAGAGGAGTATAGAATATAAAAACCAGATTAAAATCTTCTGTGTGTGTATATACATCATGAGCACACCCAATAATGAAAGAGAGACATGTTTGCTGCATCAAATGTATATAATTTATTAGACCTTGAAATATTCTCCTTTCATAGGACGTGTAATTTGGAGGACAGTTGAGTATAGGAAGTGAATGCGTCTGAGAACAGGTGGTTTTACAGCCTCTGCAGCACTGAGCCAGGAGGAGTAAGATGGGAGTTTTGCTGAAGGCCAATCCCAAGACAAATTGGTTTTCCCACTTTTTGGGTCAAATTTGTGTTTTGGCATCCTCAGTGGAAGGATGAAGTTCTTTCTATTATTGAATGGAACCAGGTAGATCTGTAAAGCACCATGTCACAAAGCCAAATTAAAGTTCAAGAACCACCAGGGGTGGTTGAAAGATAATTAGTTCATGAATTCATTGGAAGTTGAAATTTCACACTGAAAATCAGCAACCTGGATTTTAGCAGGTGGGTTCAGAAGAGGTGGTCTGGGAGCAAGTAGGCTCAGAGCAGGTGGGCTGGGAGCAGGTAGGTTGGGAGCAAGTAGATTGGGAGCAGCTGGGCTGGGAGCAGGTGGGCTGGGAGCAGGTAGGTTGGGAGCAGGTGGGTTGGGAGCAGGTGGGTTGGGAGCAGGTAGGCTGGGAGCAGGTGGGTTGGGAGCAGGTAGGTTGGGAGCAGGTGGGTTGGGAGCAGGTGGGTTGGGAGCAGGTAATCTGGCAGCCAGTGGGCTGGCCACAGTGGCAGCAGCAGGCTGGGCGGCAGCAGGACTGTCCGCAGTAGGATGGGCGGCAGCAGGAGGCCTGGGCATGGTGCAGCTGGCAGCAAGTTGGGGGGATGCAGCTCACCATACAGCAGGGGGGCAGGCAGGAGCTCTCCACTCGGCAATCAGGGCGGCACCACCTGGTGCGACAGCTCACAGCTCCGCGACCACCCTCCTGACCACCACCAATGCTACCACCAGTGCCACAGCCAGCGCCACTGCCAGAGACACAGCAGCTTGTCTGGCAGCAGCTGGTGGGGTGGCAGCTGGGCTGGCAGGAGCTGGTGGGGCAGCAGCTGGGCTGGCAGGAGCTGGTGGGGCAGCAGCTGGGCTGGCAGGAGCTGGAGCCACAAGTCCCACCAGTAGAACAGCTGGGAAACCCACAGAAGCTAGTAGTACAGCAGGCCATGGTGTCAGTCGTTGGGCTGAGAATGGGGTTGCTTGGGGGAATTTTTGAGTTTGGTGGGAACTTCTATTGTGGGCCTTTTATAAGTCCAGATCAGCTGCTGTTTACATAATTTTCAAAGGCCTTCCTTGTTTATGTTTAAATAATTTGTCTCTGAATGATAATTGGCCTGTTTCCAAGTTATTTGTTTATCCTCTAGAAGCCTTTGAAAGTTGATTTTATTTGGTCTTCAATGACAATTCTTTACCGTGATCAATTAGTCATTAATGTTCATTGGCTCCTTGCTCCTAATTTCTACATTTGTTGAAATCTGTTCAGTGGCCAAAAAATAATTGAGTAATGCTGCCCCTTTAAGAGGTGTCAATGTCACTCAATGATGACCCTTATAATTGAACACCAGGTCTCACATGGCAGCTCCATTCCCAGCTTGGTGGCCTCCAGCGTGGACTGCTGCTCTTTTCAGGTTTGGTTTCATCGTGATGCAAGTCTACGCTCAGCTTCCAGACAGGGCTGCCTCCTTCGGGGCTGGGAATGTGGACAGGTTGTTACTGTCAATATTTTGTTACTGACAGCTCATGTGCCCATAGAATTGAGAGACTTGGCTGTATCAGTTCATTTAATTTCACAGGAACCCATAGGGGGTATGGTTGTCACTTCCGTCTTCCATGAGAGGAAACTGAGCCACTAACAGATTTAAGTAACTTGCCCAAGTTCACACTAACTGAAGGTGAATCTGAAATTGGAGCCCACATTGATTCCAGACTAAACTCTTTTAACCACTACAGTTAATTCCCTCTTTTAGATACAAACCATTGTCCTATGTCAATATAAACCAATGTCCATAGGTCCATTTCTCTAAGGGACAAAGCAGATGAGAAAATCTTGGCCCACTTTCTTCAAGATGTTTTAAAGGGAAGAAAGGCAGAGTTAACTTTTAAGGTGAGTGATAACACTGTTGATTAGACATGTGCCTGGAGATTTTTTTTGTATGTGTGTGTGTTTTTTTTTTTTTTAAAGATTTATTTATTTATTTATACAAGTACTGGGTACAGTCAGAAGCGCGGGAGGGTGAAAGAATCCACCAGAGCCAGAGGGGAGAGCAGAGCAGGCAGACTGAGGAAGTACACTGAGGGGAGCAGCGGGAGGGGCAGGAGAGTCTGCTCGCCATGTGGGACCCTCGCCCCGGGGGCTGGGGATCAAACCAGCACTGCACAGGCTGCGGGCAGCTTCGCAGCCCATCGCTCAACCACTGCACCACCGGGGAGGCCCTGTATGTGTGTTTTTTAAAAAGCCTATATAAAAGGCAGACTGCAAAAAAATCTCAAGTGCTAAAAATGTTAACTTCTGTGACTTGTGCGTTCACCTAATATTTGGTCTTAGGATGGGTTATGGGTTTAATGTTCTTAACTGCATAAAAATCACTTGTAATGGATGAAAACTGGAAGATGAGGCATCCCTTGCCATGTTAGACCTGCAGGACAAAGGTCATTGCAGATGTTAGAGACTAGTCCTGTTAGGTGGGAGTTTCTATAACTTGAACGAGCAACTGATGAGTGCTTTATTGAGGACTAATGAAAGACAATCTGGCTTTCAGGGAGTGTGGTCTGCACGGCAGGAACAGCGAGTCAAAGGATCACTCACCAGGTTTGAACCAGGACACCAAGTTCACCTCTCCAGCAAGGACTGCTTTGCATTTGTTTAGATGTAACTTCCCAAGTCAGAATTCAGATATTTTCAAACTTCACATTCAATTTAAATGAAATTCAAATTTATGCATACAAGAACTGGGTGTAGGCCAGGGATACAGGGGAAGGGGTGAGAGGGTTCGTCAGAGACAGTGTGGAGAGCAGAACAGGTGGATCTACTGAAATACACTGCTGAGGGGAGCAGTGGGCTAACAGGAGAGGTCTACTGTGCCATGTGGGTCAGCTCCCTGGCCAGGGATGAAACTCGTGCTACAGTGGCTGGTGATAGCTTGATAGCACTGAGAATTTAATTCCTCAATACCAGGGAGGCTCCAGCTTCTCCTCCTGAAGCAAATCTAAATCCCAGATTCTTAGACTAGCTATCTTTCACCTTGGATATTTGCCATATGTTTGTCATTATTATAATATCAGGAGCAACTTAATTCCTATTTAAATTCAGCAGAACCCTTGATATTAAAATCCTTTATCCCCTTGCACAAAGTTCAGATGTTTGAGGAGCTGAGATTCATGTCGATATGGGCACTGAGGTAGCAGCTCCTCTCCTGTGCTTTTGTACCGGACAGTTTTCAATTTCTCCCTCCATGTAAAATTTAACTCAATATTCTTGTTTCTGGTCTTTAGTTCCCCTTAGAGAGTTATTAAGAGTAAGGTGTATTAGACAGGGTTGTCCAGAGAAATAGAACCAATATATATAAACCCCCCTGATATATTTTAGATGTATTGAGATGTACATATGTATACAAAGATTTATTATGAAGGAATGAGAGATTGGTTCTTGCAACTATGGAGACTGAGAAGTCCCTTGGTCTGCCGACCAGAAGCTGAAGAGCCAGGAAAGCTCAAAACTGGGGAACAAATGATGTAAAGCCCAATTCGAGTCCAAAGCCCCTAGATCTAGTAGAGGAGTGTCTGAGGCCAGGGCAGATGGATGTCCAGGCTGGAACGAGGGAGCAAATTTGTCTCCCTCCACCTTTTTGTTCTATTCAAGACTTTGGTGGATTGGGCGATGTCTCCCCCAAACCCCAATGGTGAGGGTGGTCTCTACTCAATCCACAGATTTAAGTGCTACTCTCTTCCAGAAATATCCCCATGGACATACCAAGAAACAATGTCGTACCAGCTATCTGGGCATCCCTTGCCCAATCAACTTGATATATAAAATTATCAATTACATGTGGATTGGCACTTATTGGAAAGTTCTGTTCTGCCACAGAATGAATAATAATCTGAATATCCCCTTATCTCTCTAAATATATCATGAAAATAAAATGTAACCAAAATCTTTCATCCCACCACCTCACTCCATTTCTCGATAAGGTCTCATGCAAAAATAACAAGAAGTTATACTCATTTGTGATATTTCTCTGTATAGATTTTTATCCTGTTCAAATGCTGGGAAAACCCATTGATATTCTTTAAGGGAAAAAAATGCCATTACCTTTACTTTAAAACTTTTTTAAAAAATTGCTCTTAAAATTTTTTTTTAAGATTTTTAAAAAAAATCTTATTGTTTTTGGTTTTTATTATTTCATTTAAGACATGTGGTCCAGCCATTCTAATACCACAGAAAGAGAGAATGTGTTCTTTCTTATTATTTTTTATTGATTTTTTAAAAGATCTATTTATTTATTTATATAAGCACTGGGTACAGTCAGAAGCACTGGAGGGTGAGAGAATTCACCAGAGCCAGAGGGGGGAGCAGAGCAGGCAGACTGACGAAGTACACTGCTGAGGGGAGCAGCGGGTGGCAGGAGAGGTCTGCGTGCCATTTGGACCCCTCCCCAGCGCCCGGGGATTGAACTGGCGCTGCAGAGGCTGGGGGCAGCTTCGCAGCCCAGTGCTCAACCGCTGCGCCACCAGGGGAGGCCCTATTTTCTACTTCATAATACACGAGATAATCGTAAAGTGTTATAAGAACATTGGTTTAAATTTCCTTTCATCATTTTCCAAGTGCATTTGAGGAACACTAGTGTCACAGTATGTCAGTCAGTGAAAAAGAAAGAGCGGTTTCCTTTTATCAGTGTAGAAGTGATGGTTATTGCAGGACGCTCAGTCCTGTGAATATTGTGAATACTCTAACCTGCTTTATAAACCTTCAAGATGGTGATAAAACATGCAATAAAAATTGATCACTGATTTTTTTTGGGGGGGGATCCGGAGGGAGTAAATGTTAGTTTGTCACCTGTTTGTCACCTGACATGCTGTCCTATGCTTGGAAGGGATGCTGGATCTCTGTTGTCTCTTCTCTCATTTTCCAGGCTAGAAATAGGTGCCTAAGCAGATAAAGTGACTTGCTCAACAATTTATGGTTATTTAGTTACAAAGTGGGGACTAGAACTCAGGATGCCTTTAGGTCTTATGCTAATACCACAAAATCTTGTTTACTGCTTTTCAATTATGTATTATCATTTTTTTATATCCTTGACTGAAAAAAGTATACACAGAATCATGTATAAATGAAATGAATGGATTTGATGTCATTAAAGAGGCTAAATGACATAAAATTTCTTTTTGTGAAATCAGTCTTCAGGAATACCTGGTCCATCAATTTGAACATATGAGGGGCTTAGTGAACAGTTCCTGGATAGAGATGTATTCTTTTAAAGAACACTGTATGTGTGTATTTATTGCATGTTTATATGTTTTATATGATATATATATTTATCTTTATTATTTTATATCAATGTTTAACCAATCAAACCCCAAAATGATGACACTGCATATATTCCATATCTTCCCAAATCCATATCTTCCCCAAGAGTGTATTAAGTTTGGCCCTCCCCTAGTGGCGCAGCGGTTGAGCGCTGGGCTGTGATGCTGCCTGCAGCCTCTGCAGCACCGGTCCGATCCCCAGCAACCGGCAAGGGTCCCACATGGTGCGCAGACCTCTCCTGCCATGCCCGCTGCTCCCCTCAGCAGTGTGTTTCGTCAGTCTGCCTGCTCTGTACCCCGCTCTGGCTCTGGTGAATTCTCTCACCCTCCCACGCTTCTGACTGTACCCAGTGCTTGTAAAAATAAATAAATCTTTAAAAAAAAAGTGTATTAGGTTTCCTAAGACCCATGAACCCTATATAGAAAAAGCCACCAGACATTTCCCCTGCTACTGCATCTGAAATTCAAAAGGGAAGTAGCAGCTGCAAGCTGACCCCCTAATACCACAATCTGTCAAAGCTACCTAAGTTTAATTATATGTTTTGCTGCAGAATCTGGAATCATTTAATGGCAAAAGAAAGGGAAAGTACCTTTCAAAGACACAGTTGTAGAGAAAAACCAAAGTGGCATGACACATTTATTGAGAATTTGTAAAATCCCAGTATCCCAATACCAACAACAACTTCCAGAGAAAAGGCAGTTCCAACAATAGCTTCATTATGGAATGAAATTTTTTATTAAGTCCAAAATCCAATGAGCTGCTGAAGTATTTCAGACGATATTTATGGCCGAGGATTACACATCCCCTTGTTCATGGTAGGGATTCTATTAATATCCAGGTCTATGAAATAAGTCTGGTTTTCTTTCATAAATTGATTTTATGTCTTACGGAAATTATGTAGCTTTGTGGCAGGAGGTTGTAAGCTGGGTGGTCATCACTGGAGCTCAGAGGTTTGTTGGACTCTATATTGGTTAACTTTGAAGTGCCATTTTTCTCCGGGTTTCCATCAGAAGGAGGCTTTTAGCAGGTGGGCTCACAGCAGTGGCAGCAGCAGGCTGGGCGGCAGCAGGACTGTCCACAGTAGGAGGGGCGGCAGCAGGAGGCCTGGGCGTGGTGCAGCTGGCAGCAGCTTGGGGGGGTACAGCTCACCACACAGCAGGGGGGCAGGCAGGTGTCCTCCACGCGGCAGTCAGGGCGGCACCACCTGACACGGCAGCTCACAGCCCCAGAGCCACCTCCCAGGCCACCGCCAATGCCACAGCCGGAGCCATAGCCAGAGCCACAGCCAGAGCCACCACAGCTGGTGAGGCAGCAGGTGGGCTGGCAGCAGCTGGTGGGGCAGCAGCTGGGCTGAGAGCAGCTGGAGCCACAGGTCCCACCGGTAGAACAGCTGGGGAATCCACAGAAGCTAGTGGTGCAGCAGGCCATGGTGTCAGGAGGTAGGTTGAGAGTGGAGTTACTTGGAGGAGTTTCTGAGTTAGGACTAGCTGCTTATTCTACCTCAGGCCTTTTATAGACCTTGAGCAGTTCCTGGGTTTGTGACAGACAGCATATTTTTCTTGTTACTCTTTAAACAAGCTTTTTCAAGGTCCTCTCATTATTCAAATAGTGAATTATTTTAAATATATCTCCAAATTGGTTTTTCCTTATTGCTCAGCTAATACTCACAAAATGTGTTTTTCTTTGGTAGAGATAGTAATGCTTCATTTCCAAACTATGCCATGACTTCCCTGAAGTCTTGGCCTCATTTCTGCATTTTTGATAGCATTGCCTAACAAAGTGACTCTCCCAGGGCATGCAATTTTGGGGTTATAGTCACCAAACCTTAACTCTCAAGAAGAAATTTATAGACCTTTGACTGTTCTTCAGGAAAGACTATCTTTGTTTTTTAGATTAATAAGATTATAGTCTTTACAGTGAGATAGAAGCTCTGATAAACTCCACATTCATAGAAATTTAGGTCTTTCTAGAAATTGGATTTCTCCAATTTCTGTGGCCTCTCCTGAACTTCAGACATTTAGACTTGAAGAAACATTTATCATTTGGAAGTGTGTGTGTGTGTGTGTGTGTGTGTGTGTATGGTACAAAACCTGTTCTATTCCAATTTATTATGGATAGCAGAAAGTTAAAAGAAGAGCTAAAATTCATAGGCAGTAAGTAGGAAAAGAATTAAAAAAATTTAAGTGTAATTTATACTTCTCTGTGAAAGATAAATATTATACTATATAGATGATTCTGGGCAGTATTTATTTCTCAAAAGTAGGGTTAATTACCACTTATGTTGTTTTATGTATACACCCTGTGTCTTAAGAGAGGGTATTAGAATAAAAAGCACAATAGATTTTATCAAGGGGGATCAATAAAGAAAAAGCAGAAGTTGGGAAATGCTTTTATGGATCATAGTGTTTATAAGAAAGTTATGAAATAGACAATCAAGTACCATTCATACGTGTAAGTGCCAAGAGATGAAGATAAATTGCAGCAAAAGAAAAACTGAAACAATTCTTGCTGGTTGATGAAAGAAAGAGTGTGAAAAAAAGAGTGTGATTTTTCATTGGAAGTTTAAGGTTACATGGGGAAAATGAAAAAAGTGGTCGCCAAAACAACATGGTATTGTTACTTGTGATAAGCTTATTCTTCCCTTCCAATCATAGACAGAAGCACATAGTTAGCTCTTTATGGGCTGGAGGTATTGGTTTGTACAGTCATAGAACGGCATTAGAATGTGATTCATGCCAATGTCAATAAAGATTTTCTTGTCATGTGATAACCATGACTGCAGATATGATGTTGAAAATTGGTTTGATGGAATCACTGAATATCAGAAATCAAAGACATAGTAAATCATTTAGTTTTATAGGTGTGGAAACTGACATCATCCTTTTTTAAAATAACATGTTTATTCAATCCTCTTGTGCACAGATCACTAAAGGGAAAACAAGATCCAATCTGTTAGCTTCATGTCTTGTTCTAGTGCACATATCAGCAAGTACTGATAGGAGGGATCAGCAAGAGGCAGTCCAATATAGAACCATTCTCTCTCAAAGTTCTAAATTAGGAACACTGATGTAATAGGATTATTTTTAATTTGCTAGCAGCACCACATGATATTAGAATACTGCTGGGTCTAGTAATGGCAGAATTTTGGAGTGCTTAGTAAACTACTCTAGTACATCGCCAGAAGAACTGGGTATAAAACTCATATCCCTCATTCCCATTTGGTTTATTTTATTTTATACCATGCTGCTTTCCATCATCAATTAGAGTTAGCACAACTCTTTGTTTCCTCTTTTAAAAACTATTTTATAATAGCTCAAGAACAGAGCTATTAGCAGTGGGCAGAATCTATTATAGAGCAGTGATTTATCATGAACTCATGATAAATAAACATCACTAATTTAAAATTCTTTCAAGTGTCTTCTGACCTGAAAAGTTTCTCCTAAAACTGCAGCAATTCATCTTTGCTTCCTAATTTCCCCATATTTGTGTTAGTTAATATGCCTTTTGAATTTCTATGTCTGCCACACTCTTTCTGTGTGCTTTATACCATGATCATCATCAAGTTCATCGGATCACTTATGCCACAGTGGCCTCTGGATTGGTCTCTGTATAATTATTTTGTGTCTAACCTTTGGGCTTCTGTTTTTAGAACCAGCTACCACAGGAATCACCCCAGTGCCCAACTCCTGTCATGAGACTCACTTGCCCCAAGGATTTCAGCAGACCTTTAGTGCCTATTGCATTATAGGCTTACTCCTTTGGCAAAGTGCACACATTTTCCTAATTTATCTGCCATAACTTTACATATAACCAGGGTTCCTAAACTATTCAGTGAATACCCCTTCTCTGTAACCCTTGTGCCCACCATTTCCATTGCCCAGCATGCCATCTGCCCCTGGGACTGCACCCTGAGATCTGAATCCATGTGAAGTGTTAACATCTCCTTTCAATCTTTCTGGTTCTCCCTAATCAACATCTCCGTTGTCACCAGACAGTGTGCTCTACATTCATTTTTTTCATACTCCAACTTTTAGTTGAGTTATTGTGAATTTGATTCATTTCCCTAGAAGGCTTTGAGGAGGGCAACATTTCAAATTCGTTTTTAATCTCTATTGTATGCCATACCGCCTGAGACTTGCATATGGTAGGGAAACTGTCTAATTTTTTTTTAAAGATTGTCGGGTATTTTTTTTTTTTTTGGTTTATATAATTTCCTTCATCAGTTTATTTATTTTTTTTTAATAATAAATTTTATTGTTATATTCCAGGTATTTTTTTTTTAAGATTTATTTATACAAGAACTGGGGTACAGCCAGAGGCATGGGAGGACTTGAGAATTCACCAGAGACAGAACGGGGAGCAGAACAGGCAGACATACCGAAGACACTGCTGAGGGGAGCAGCGGGCGAGACAGGAGAGGTCTGCCACGCCATGTGGGTTTCTCCCTGGCCAGCCAGGAATTGAACCCGCACTGCAGAGGCTGCGGACAGCTTCACAACTCAGCGCTCAACCCGCTGCGCCACCAGGGAGGCCCAAATCTGTCTATTTTTAACATTTAAATTTAATGAAAATATTAGAGTGAATAAAGAAAGCCAGAGTTGTGTTTGCTAGGTCAAAGAAGAGAAGTTTATTAGAAACAAACTTGTCATAAGACTGAAGATGTAAGATGGGACGAGGATGAGGTGAGAACAGTTCAAGCTTAATAGGTGAGGCTCAGTCTCCATTCCCTTCTGGTTGACCTGTGGTCTTGATGGCACAGGACAGGAAGTTTGCCAGAGAAATGGGAATGTGACTTTTACAGAAGGTAGATTACTTGCTTAGGCAGTTGGCAATGACTAGGGTCATTTCCCTAAAAACAACCTGTTTTTCTCTGTGCTTCATTAAATGCTGTGCAGGTGTTCAGGCTGGCGTTCTGCACCTGGGCCGTCCGGGTTCAGCAGGAGCAGCAGGAAGAGGTCCTGCAGGTGGTGCGGCAGGGGGCGGGCTGGCAGCAGGGGGGGCGGCAGCAGGGCGCCTGCACCAGGATGGGCTGGCAGCAGGTGGAGGCCCAGCAGCAGGGCCGGCACACCACGGCCGTGCAGGACGTGGGGCAGCAGGTGATGGGGCGGCAGCAGCCCTCCTGCAGGCCGCAAGGGTCACAGCACACAGGGCGGCGGCAGGGCTCGCAGATGGGGCGCGTGCAGTGGGGCACGCAGGTCACGGGGCGGCACACGGTGGTCTGGCAGGACACGGGGCGGCAGCAGCAGGGGTCGCGGCTGCAGCAGGGCTGACAGCAGCTTTCTCCGCAGATGGAGCCACAGCAGGAGCCGATCATGGTGGAGGTGGGTCTGGACTGAGTGGGGCTGGTGGCAGAAGTGGGAGTTTCTAGGTGTGAATGTCTCCCTTCCACGCTGGGGCCCTTATATACACTGGGCTGGCACTGATGACCCCTTTGTTTATCTTTTGGCCAATTAAGTAGAATTTTGTTTTGACTAATGGTTGCATTGTTGGTAACATACTCATTCTCTCATTAAAGAATTCTTGTTCCATCCCTCCATGGGGATGTATATAAGCCATTCATCATCAAAATCTAAGAAAAGCCACTTATTTTACAGATCTTGATCTTTATTTGGAGTGGGTAGTACCTGATGAATCCTGGACAAATGTTCCTAAAGGAGCATTAAAGAAGTTAAAAATTATAGAGTACTGACTGGTTCCTGTCCTTGCCGGCACAAGGTCCGCTGAAGAGCCCGCATTGACTCAGACAGAAGTTAGATGTCCTTCCTTGTGGGTTCCATGGGAATGTATTTACATATCATGTGATCCAGTGGAATGTAGCCTATGCCTTGTATAGCATGGGATACTGGCATGGGAAAGCCACAAGTCCATTTTTATGTTACATTGGTGCCCCATAAATTCCAAATTTTGTTTCTAGAATGAAGAGGAACATACTTATAAATGGCGGATGGCCAGTTCTCTGCTCAGTCACTGCTGAATACATAATAATAAAAGTATTCAGTGGTGAGTTTTATTAGTAGAAATAGAATAAAATAGAAGAATCTGGAAGGAAGACAGAGAACTCCCTCTCTTTGAACAGTGTTCTCTGTGGGTGGGAGTCAGGCTACTGCAGAACCCTGGAGAAGAATACTTGTTAGAATTATGGCCCAAACTCAGGAGAGACCCAACATCCTTGCAACACAGAGTGATGTCTTAGAAAAATGTCCTTAAGCCTTAAAACAAACTTAAGACAGGTTTCTAGTGGTAAAAAACAACACATTTTGGATAAAGAATTCCTTTATTTAATAATGCCATTCAACAATTACATTCTGAACAAATGTTAACATGAAATGTGCTGTCTTGTATGTCCTCAATAATCAATTGTTGATACAGATGAAAAAAAACAATTCTATGTGCAATCTGAAACAACCAACCATTAAAAAAATTTTTTAGTTTGGCACTTAGCAAAAGTGCATCTTATTTTATACAATTGAGATGATTCTAAAATATTAAAATAAGAATTAAATGTTTATGGGCCTCCCCGGTGGCACAGCGGTTGAGCGCTGGGTTGCGAAGCTGCCCGCAGCCTCTGCAGCGCCGGTTCCATCCCCGGCTGCTCCCCGGCCACCGGAGGAGGGTCCCGCATGGCGCGCAGACCTCTCCTGCCGCCCGCTGCTCCCCTCAGCAGTGTACTTCGGTCCTTCTGCCTTCTCTGCTCCCTGCTCTGGCTCTGGTGAATTCTCTCACCCTCCCGCGCTTCTGACTGTACCCAGTGCTTGTATAAACAAAAGAAACAAACAAACAAACAAATAAATAAACAAAACATGCCTCTATTAAAAAAATAAATGTTTAATAATTTGATCATATTTTAAAGATATCAGAGAAGTCCATTATATATGACATAGTGGCATACTCTTCCATAGATATTAAAATTCTTTGGGAGTTCAAGCAGTTGCTGTCAAACATACTTACTTTAAGTCCATTTGTACTTTGACAGGTTGGCTTTGAGAAGCAGAATATAATCATGATAAAGATGTAACTATGTTTCCCAAAACTGATGTGAGTTTTAGACAGTTTGTTTCCTTAAAAATAAAATATATATGTATTTCAAAAATATGTAATCAAGAGAAATATAAAGAAGAAAATAAGTATTTAATAAGTTACATTTTGAAAAAACAATAAGTTAGATTTTGTTGCACAATATTCCAGCTGTTTTTTTAGCATAAACACACACAGACACACTTTTTCTCATGAAATTACTTAATATTTGACAGCACCCTTATTTTTTACATAAATATAAGACAGAACAATTATATAATGTTTCTTAATAGATTTATAATCTTCGAGGACTATTTCTGGTATTTCCTTTATGATTATATTATGCTTATATTATGTACTATTGGACTTTCTTCCCCCCTTCTTTATTTCTTATCTCCCTGAGTAGATTATAACCAATTTGAAACAGAAGACCTGTCTCATTCTCTTACATTCCCACAGGCTCCACTCCGTGCTCCACTCATAGAAGATATACAGTAAACAATAAACATTTAGACTGGTGGTAATGGATTAATTTGCTGGGAAAATGCCACTTAAGTCCAATTCCTGAGCACAGGTGTAAGCAGCCCTTGAGAGTCAGTGGATTAAAATCCACAGGAGTCACCTTTGTGCATGGCATTCTAAATAGCAATCAGATCCTCAGCACTGAAAGGGAGCGTTACCCTAAATAGCACCTATTCTTGGACACAAAAGACAAAAAGCACCACGATTCTGGACATCATATAATAATAAAAAGAAGAAAAAGCATTTGATTTAAAGGCTTCATGCCTGGGGGGGAGTGCATCCCCCTGGGTCTTTTCTAGACAGCTGTGATTTTAATTAGTTATATTTATATTAATAGGAAATTTATTAAATCTTTCATTGCTTATTTCTCTTCAAAAACAGACTACTGGTCTGCTTTCAACTAAGATTTTTCCACCACTACTATGAAAAGCTGATACGTGTTGGTTCAGTGAAGGGACTGTCAGACCAGAAATATGTGTCAGTCCAGGCACAACCTCCTAACGCGGAAGGACACTGCTCAGGTGTTTGGCTGTGTCTGGAATTGCGGGCACAGGTGACGGTGTGACCAACTTCTTTCCTTGGCTCCTGTGTCCGATGAATGCTATTTACAATGACCATAAGTGCCGCGGACCAGCACAACAGTGAAGGATGAGGCAGTCTCAGGGTTGAGAGATTGCTCAGGGTGGTCAGGGATTCGGTGCCCAGTTAGGTTATTTCAGAGAACAATGCGAGAGGATTACAGGCGGGCCTCGATTTATTGTGCTCCACAGAAACTGCATTTTCACAGATCCAAGATTTGTGGCAAGCCCTCACCTAGCAAGTCTCCCTAATAGCCTGCACTCTCTCTGTGTCCTGTTAAGGTAATTCTCACAGTACATCAGACTTTTTGTTATTTTATATCTGTCAGGGAGACCTGTGATCAGTGATCATTGATGTCACATTATCATTATTTGGGGGGAACCACGAAGCACTCCCATACAAGACAGTGAACTTACCTGGTAAGTGTCCTGTGGGCCATTCCTAGTCTCTCGCCTGCTTCTCAGACCTGTTTATTCCGAGACACAACAATATTGACATTGGGCCAACTGTATACCCTACAGTAACTCTTAAGTGTTCAAGCGAAAGGTAAAGTTGCAAGCTTCTCACTTTAAATCAAGAGCGGGAAATGACTAAGCTCAGTGAGAAGACAGGTAGAAAGCCAAGATAGGTCAAGCATGAGGCTACTCACCCCAGGCAGTGACCTAAGTGGCTGTAGGGTAAATGGAATAATTCTAGCTTTTTATGCCACTAGCATCTGTGGCTATCACCTGTGGCTTTGATCATGTTGATGCAGAAGGCGCTTGGGAGCGTGGGTGCGGGGCACGCCTGCCTGACTGTGGACACCTGGGGTATGGTGTGGGCATGCGTAACTGGGCACACCTGAGCCTAGAGGCCAGGGCTATAAGGGCAGCGTCTCTCAGAGGCAGACAGCTACGGGGGATGGCTATGGGAGGATGGATGCCTGTGCAAGACTCGAGACCACGTAACAACACCAGAGAGAGCCCAGAGGAAAAGTGTAAAGATTCATGGGGGCCTGGGATGCTTGGTTGCCCATCTGCCTTCCAGCTCCCCTGCCCCACCTGTGTCTGCCTCCTTGCATGCCAGCCTCCCTTTTTGGTGGGTGCCTGCGTGCCTGGTTCCCAAGAGAGCATTAAAGCCTGAAAAATCCACTGAGGGCTCCTGGACTCTCCTTTATCCTTCTGACCAAGTCAGTGGTGAACCTGCACTGTGCATGCTGGCACAACAGGTCTTGGAGGACATTAAAAGGGTTATTCCAGTGAACACATAAATGATAGCAGAACAGCCTTATTGCTGATGACAGAGTTTTCGGTGTCTGGATAGAAGAGAAAACCAGTCACAACATTCCCTTAAGCTTTATGGGGATGGTCTGGAACTGAACCCCCAACACCACCCAGTCTTGTCTGTGTCTTGCTTTGTCTGTCTCTGGACACGAGAGAGAGAATCTACTGAAACAAGGAAACAAGACAAAGACCATGACTTCTATGCTGGGAGTATAAGTTTATTAGAAAATAGACATCTCCTGTAGGCGCTGCCCAGTGGTCCTGGGAGGACAAGCTGGACACCTGGGCACTTGGCTGAAGCTGGTGATGGACGTCAGGCTGTCTTGAGACGGTAGGAGCTACAAATGACTAGCGCCATCTTCTAAAAACAACCTGTTTTTCTTTGAGCATGATTAAATGCCGCGCAGGTGCTCAGGCTGGCGTTCTGCGCCTGGGCCATCGGGGTTCAGCAGGAGCAGCAGGGAGAGGTCCTGCAGGTGGTGCGGCAGGGGGCGGGCTGGCAGCAGGGGGGGCGGCAGCAGGGCGCCTGCACCAGGATGGGCTGGCAGCAGGTGGAGGCCCAGCAGCAGGGCCGGCACACCACGGCCGTGCAGGACGTGGGGCAGCAGGTGATGGGGCGGCAGCAGCCCTCCTGCAGGCCGCAAGGGTCACAGCAGACAGGGCGGCGGCAGGGCTCGCAGATGGGGCGCGTGCAGTGGGGCACGCAGGTCACGGGGCGGCACACGGTGGTCTGGCAGGACACGGGGCGGCAGCAGCAGGGGTCGCGGCTGCAGCAGGGCTGACAGCAGCTTTCTCCGCAGATGGAGCCACAGCAGGAGCCGGTCATGGTGGAGGTGGGTCTGGACTGAGTGGGGCTGGTGGCAGAAGTGAGAGTTTTCAGATGTGAATGTCTCCCCTCCACACTGGGGCCCTTATATACTCTGAGCAGGTGCTATGT